ATCAAGCGAAATAATGTTCTCCAGAATGATTAGGACAAAATGGGAGTTGATAAAACCGAGGGATGAAAGAGATCATATACTAAATCGCAAGATATCAATAGATAGGGATATAGAAATAGGAGACAGCATATGGTATAAAACTTTTAAGGATAATAATAGGGAAAAAGGTACAATAATGCGCAAACGGAAATTTGTTGTATGAGATAGATACTGGGAACAAAATTATAAAAAGACACTTGGACCAAATAAAAAAAAGATCAACTAATGTTGAACCTTCTTCTAATGGTGCAACAGTTTTTAAAACGAATGTTAATAATAATGCATCACCTTATACATTGAATTTTAGAAGGGGAGGTGATAAACCAAGAAACCAAAATGTACAAGTGAATGATCAGAATCGCAACGTTCAAAGACCAGTTAGAAATAGTGTGTTGCCTAGAAAATTTGAAAATTTTATAATGAATTAAATTTTATAATAAATTTTTTTTCTCTTCCTTATATTAAAACAAAATTAGTTTTTTTTGTGTGTGGAACTAAATTGATAAAACGTACAACAAAAAAAAGATCAACGAAGGAGTTAAATGACAAACGACAAAAATTATAGACAGAGGGCAAATAAGAAATAAAAAAAAAGTGTGAAATGTTAAACAGTGACACTCATGTATTTTATCTTAACTTTAAAAAATTGTTTATTTACATCCTTAAGCTATTTATGGCGTAACTTAAAATATTTCAAATGTAATAAGAATTGTTTCTTTCTTTTTGTTAAAAACAACTTTTATATTTTAAAAAATCAATTTGCTTATAAACTAATATTAAATTTTATATTTTATATTTGATAAATCAATTTACTTAAAAAACGAATGTTCAATTTTATATTTTAACTTTAAAAAGATCAATTTATTATAAACTACATTAAATTAAATTGTCAACATATATAGGAAACTATTTTGAGTTATGTAATCATATAATTTTTAAATTTAAATATCAATAAATTGACTTAAAAATTATATTCTTGAAGTCTGCACCATTAGAAATCTTTAGAAATTTCACTGATGGTATAATAATAGCAACCAATCTCATTTGATAACATATGATATACACAAATCAGGAACATTTTATAGTACTTTTAATCTCCTAAGGTTCATATCATGCAAGGTTCTTCCCGTTTTTTAAAATGAATTTGATAAAATTTTTTATAATAATGCGGGAACTGTATAATTTTTAAAATTTAATTAGTGTTGTTAATGGTAGTTAGATTTATTGGAGATAATTTTGTTAAAATAATCATAAGTAGTTACTTTCAAATTTGACAATGCAAAGACAAGTTAGAACGTAAATATATCCTTGAAAAAAGATATTATATGACTAAAGAGGCTATAAAATATATTTATTTATTTAAAATAAAAGTATTTAAATTGCTTAATTAGATTATTCTATAGAAAATACATGCAATTGCCTAATCGGCTAAAACTACGCCTAAGCCTAATAAGGCTAAGCCTAAAAATCGGCTAAGCCTAATTAGGTAAGCCTAAAAATCGGCTAAAACTAAAAATCGGCTAAGCCTAATTAGGTTAAGCCTAAAAATCGGCTAAGCCTATATAAATCTGCTAAAAATTAGTCAAAATTCTGCATCGATGCTTAGTATTAATTATTATTTATTTATTTTAGTAAAATAATTTATTTTCTTAATATTTAATGTAAATATTTTATTATTATCAACAAATAAACATGATATGATTTAATATTTTTTATTTATATTATTATATTTTGAAATGAAAATAAATTTATTTATTTGATGTTATTTTAATAAAAAAAATAATATGCTGCTATATTGTAAAATTGTAATATTCTTTTTAATATAATTTATTAGTGATTTTCACAATCTTCTTTATAAATACATCTTTTATTGAGGAATTATATTGTAAATTTTATTAGATAAATAAACAATCTTTTAGGTGAAATCTTTTATAATTTTTTTATCATTTTTTTAAAATTATCTATTTTATATTAAATGAGGTGGATTTTATGAAACTTTTTTGATGATTTTATATGATCTTTTTAAGGATAATATTTTAATGTGACAATTGTCATAATCGTTATTTTATAAGTTTTTTGAATTTTTTTGAAGAAAATAGGTTAAAATAAGTATTAATAACATGTGTAAATATAAATTTAGTGAAGTTGTACCAAAGAAAAGTGACAATTGTCATAATCGTTATTTTTAAAGTTTTTTGAATTTTTTTGACGACAATATGTTAAAATAAGTATTAATAACATGTTTAAATAAAAATTTAGTGAAGATGTACCATAGATAAGCGACAATTGTCATAATCGTTATTTTATAAGTTTTTGGAATTTTTTTGAAGAAAATATGTTAAAATAAGTATTAAAAACATGTTTAAATAAAAATTTAATGAAGATGTACCATAGAAAAGTGACAATTGTCATAATCGTTATTTTATAAGTTTTTGGAATTTTTTTGAAGAAAATATGTTAAAATAAGTATTGATAACATGTTTAAATAAAATTTAGTGAAGATGTACCATAGAAAATTGACATTGTCAAAATGGTTATTTTTAAAGTTTTTTGATTTTTTGACGAAAATATGTTAAAATAAGTATTAATACATGTGTAAATATAAATTTAGTGAAGACAATAAAAAGTGACAATTGTCATATTCGTTATTTTTAAAATTTTTTGAATTTTTTTGACGAAAATATGTTAAAATAAGTATTAATAACATGTGTAAATATAAATTTAGTGAAGATGTACCAATGAAAAGTGACAATTGTCATAATCGTTATTCTTAAAATTTTTTGAATTTTTTTGACGAAAATATTTTAAAATATGTATATATAACATGTTTAAATAAAAATTTAGTGAAGATGTACTCTAGATAAGCGACAATTGTCATAATCATTATTTTTTAAGTTTTTTTATTTTTGTTGACGAAAATATGTTAAAATGAGTAATAATAACATGTTTAAATAAAAATTTAGTGAAGATGTACTATAGAAAACGTCAAAAAAATTCAAAAAACTTTAAAATTAACCATTATGACAATTGTCACTTTTCATTGGTACATCTTCACTAAATTTATATTTACACATGTTATTAATTCTTATTTTAACATATTTTCGTCAAAAAAATTCGAAAAACTTTAAAAATAACGATTATGACAATTGTCACTTTTCATTGGTACATCTTCACTAAATTTGTATTTACACATGTTATTAATACTTATTTTAACATACTTTCTTCAAAAAAATTCAAAAAACTTATAAAAGAACGATTATGACAATTGTCACATTAAAATATTATCCTTAAAAAGATCATATAAAATAACATCAAAAAAGTTTCATAAAATCCAGATAATTTTAAAAAAATGATAAAAGATTTCACCTAAAAGATTGTTTATTTATCTAATAAAATTTACAATATAATTCCTCAATAAAAGATGTATTTACAAAGAAGATTGTGAAAATCACTAATAAATTATATTATAAAGAATATTACATTTTTACAATATAGCAGCATTTTTTTTATTAAAAAAACATCAAATAAATAAATTTATTTTCATTTCAAAATATAATAATATAAATAAAAAATATTATATCATATCATGTTTATTTGTTGATAATAATAAAATAAATTATTTCACTAAAATAAATAAATAATAATTAATGCTAAGCATCGATGCAGAATTTTGACTAATTTATTTTAGCCAATTTTTAGGCTTAGCCGATTTTTAGCAGCCAATTTTGGCTTAGCCAATTTTTTGGCTTAGCCGATTTTTTGGCTTAGCCGATTTTTTGGCTTAGCCGATTTTTTGGCTTAGCCGATTTTTTGGCTTAGCCGATTTTTTGGCTTAGCCGATTTTTTGGCTTAGCCGATTTTTTGGCTTAGCCGATTTTTTGGCTTAGCCGATTTTTTGGCTTAGCCGATTTTTTGGCTTAGCCGATTTTTAGGCTTAGCCTAATTAGGTTTAGCCGATTTTTAGGCTATACCTAATTAGGCTTAGCCGATTTTTCCACCTAAAATCTCAGCTAAGCCGTTTTTAGTCGGCTAAAATTAGCCGATTACGCAACACTACATGCAATCACATCATTTTATTCTCTTAGAAGGATTATTTCACACGGAGTGAGGACATAAAATTTTTAACAACCGGCTCTCTAAAAATCATAAATCTAAACATGCTTTATCGCTCAAATTATTTTGAATTTAGCATTTTGGCATTCTTTAAGAGTTCAAACTGAGAATAAATTTTATAATTTTCCCAACCATCATTATGCCTAAGTATCTACATTCGTTTGGGGGGGGGAGGGATTAATATATTTTTTAAAGGCTTACGATTGGAATTGGAAGATATTTTAAAAGAAATTATTTATTAGTTAAATTTTTTTAGTTTAAAAATATATTCATTTTTTTCAAAAATTAACATATTATTATATCCATTTCGTTTTTTAAAAAAATTAAAAATTGATTTTTTGATAAAGTTTTACAAATAGATTTATTTCATATAATAAAATATAATATAATATTTAATCAGGGTTCCCCTCAATTATCTTCAATAGCATGTAGCTCCAAATCACATGTCTTGGTTTAAATCACGAGCTAGACCGAAATTCCTTACATGACTCTAATCACGAGCCTGTGGATGTATATCATAAACTCGACTCTAACATAAGCCTGACACTAAATTAGATTGAATTTAATTCATAAATAAATTCTCCCTATCCCAATGATATATATCATTGCCCTATCCACTTCGTTTGAAACACAGTAATATTCATATTATTGCCAAAATAGATTGGACAACTATTAAATAACTAAATAATTGATCAGGTATGTAAAGAAGAATCTAGTTTAAAGGACATTAAAAAACAATAGTTCTAATGTCATGAAAAAATGAAAATGTTAAAAAAAAGTATAATACAAAATTCCGTCTATCAATGTTTAAGAAGTCAATATATGACAAGATTATCTTTATGATTTTAGCAAATCTTTAATTTTATATAATTTCTCAAATGGTAAGATGGCATTAATTATATTATTTGGAGAAATCCTTCTTCTACTCTTCTTAACTCTTTACATTCTAAATAAGTATGGAAATTGGAAAAGACAAAGAATTGCTGTTACATTAGCTACTCTTTTAGCTTGGTATTTTTCTTTCATCATTATATCCATTCTTCCATTGGATGTATCAATGGTAAATTTTGATTACCAATCATAATATATTCTTTATTTTAAGTTTTTTGCCATATTTTTTTTCTATTCATTATATTTACATTTTTTTAAATATTAATATTTTAAATAGACATCATACTATCAATGTTTAGCCAGACTTAATAATTCTATTATTCAAGATTACAGCAAATATAGGATCAGCCATGATCTTCCAGATGAATTGCATCTTTTATCGAATATAACCTCTACAAATAATATGAATCTATCAAATTTTTATAATACATTTATGTATCCATTATTATCGAATATTTCAATAACATATGATATACCTTATGTTAATCTCTCAAATAATCTAATTGGGGATAATATAACTTTAAATTTGAATGATGTCAAAACATGTGAAAAACCATGGAATTTTATTAATAGAAATGTTCTAATTTGCCTTTGGAGAATAGTTTATTGGGCATCACAAGTCTTAACATGGTAAATTAACATTATAAAAAAATATGAACATATTTTAAATACATATAATATCTTAAAAATACTTATTGTATTTATAATTAAATTATTTAAACCATTATCCATTGATTTTTTTCTACAATTACTAAGTTATATTTTAATTCTCTTGCTTCTAACAGACTAGTGAAGGTCACGGTCCGGTCTTTGGTCCAGACAACCAATACCATCAGACCAGACCATGGTCCTTAAGAAAAAGATTGATCCAGACCGTGGTCCTAAATAAAAAGACCGATTCTGGACTGGTCTTTTTATTTGTTTAAAAAACATATTTTTTTAACCTAATTTGATTTGTTTTATCATATTATTAAATATAAGGGTATTATATAAACAATAAAATTTATCCAATGGTATTGAAGAAAATGATTTTGTGCTTGTGGAGGGCATATTAAAATTAAGAGTAGATAATGTTTTTTGAGATATTTTCATTTTTATCATTAGAAATATATATTTTATGTTTTATCAGATGTCTGCTTAAGGTACCTAATTATTTTATTAAGAATAAGGTTAAGTAATTTTTACAATAAATTATACAGACAGTTTCTTTAAAAAAAATAGAACTATATTTAAATAATATTACTGCTTATTTTGATTAATTTATTGATTAAAATATAAACAATTATTAGTTGCTGACGATACATTAAATTTGGTACTGCAGTGAACACATATTCTATGTTTTATATTGGGACTATAAAGTAAAATGTTTTTTGGACAAACTTATGGTTTTCATATAGTAAAATAAAAATTAACAAAATCTAAAATAACTCCTCTAGAAAAATATCATAAAATAAAATATAAATTTTTTTTTTATTGTATAGTAAAGCAAACTTAAACAATAATAAAAGACAGGTCCGGACTGTGGTCTGGACCTTAAAAAATAAAAAGACTGGTCCAATCCCGGTCTAAGACCAATAGGATCAGACCCTTGACCTTCACTATAACAGGCATAGATAAAATATACATTCTCATGAACTATGAATTCTCATCAATTTTGCAGGGGCCATTCCAACTTACATAATTAAGAATTAGGTTTTTTTGGCCCGCCACTTTTAATCTTGAAAATTTATAGCGCTACTATGGATCTTAGATAAACAAATTTTAACACTTAATTTCTTATATTGCCTGGGATAATTAGAGTGAAGGATATATAGTGTTGTGTAGATTTGATGGAAATTATTTTCATATTTTTTAATTTTGTTTGCAAATAAAATTATTTAACTATAAAATTTTATGACCTTACTTTTTATATATGTTCCTGAATTGATTATATACTTTCTAACTTTGTTTTTATTACTTCTTTTACCTTTTAATTATCTTAAAATAATATAGACACCATTTTATTGAAAAGATTCTTTTATTTTTTTAAAAAAAACTAAAATACAATACAAATACTATATAATATAATACTAATAAAAACTTTTATATATTTTTATTTTTTATAATATATACAATAAAAATGAACACTACATTTTATAATAATAATAAAAATAAATGATTACATAACATAAACAATACATAAATTAATTACATATATATATATTTTTTAAAATAAAATCATTGCTAATTAATTAAATATTAATTCAAAACTAAAATTATACAAGCCCAAATTTTTTTTTTTACTAAGGAGCATTTATTAATACGTCCTCCATTTTACTTGGCATTCCTCCTTCTGTCACCGACATAATTCCATTTAGAATCCTCACTATACTTGAATTAATAGAAATTTTTTCCATCTCTCTTGACTCATATCGGGACAAGTTTTGGATTGTATCGTATTATTTGGAATCGTCATCATGTTCATATATCTAGGTGCCGTATTCATTGGCATCACCCCCATTCCTCTATTTGCCGAGAATCCTTCTCGGCTGTCCATCTGAAGTCCACCTTATTTGGAAATATAATAATAAAATGAAGATAATAATGTTGTTTTGTGTAGTGGATTCTTTATACAAAAGGGGGTATTATGCTATTTAGGGAAATGTGTTATTAAAGTTTGTTTTAAAAAAATAAATATATTAAATATTATAAAGTTTAATTTTAAAAGAAAAATAAATTAAATGGATACATTTTACATGAAGTGTAATAATAGATCGATCCAAATTAATTCACTCGACATGTCAAATCAATTAGTGGATCAGTGGCATAACAATTGGATCCATCAATAAATTGGAGAAGGAATGCCTGTGTCCTTTCGACCTTCTAATTATATGATGTCTATGCCAAATGCTGGTACCTCAAGTCAACTATTCATGTAATGCGAGGTTCTGGGATACAGGTATTCAATTTGACTTGCCTTATTTGTAGTGGGGGAATGGTCACAAAGCCAGAGAGTCCAAGTGTAAGAAATCAACAGTCTTCCGTTATGAATGGGATCAGTAGATGGACTTCAAATGGACCGCCCAGAACGTTTCCAGCAAACAGAGAAATGGGAGTGATACCAACGAATACGGCACATAAGGAACAAAGGTCTAAACACATATTATCGAAATTCCAGGCCTAGGCAATATTTTTCTGGCAACCGTTTTTAACAAAACTAATTATGTAATTATTTATTTTTATTAATATTAAAAAAATGTAGTGTATGTAATTATTTATTTTTATTAATATTAAAAAAATGTAGTGTCTATTTTTATTTGTATATTATGTAAAAAAAATAAATAAAAGTTTTTATTAGTATTATATAATATTATATAGGTATTATATTATATTGTATTTTAGTTTTTTTTTAAAAAAAATAAAAGAATCTTTTCAATAAAAATAGTTTTCTATATTGTTTTAAGCCAAATTAAAAGGTAAAAGAAGTAATAAAAAACAAAGTTAGAAAAGTATATAAAGGTCATAAAATTAAGATTATTAAGAATTGCAGTAATAAAAATGATTTGTCGTACAACCTAAACCTTACATGTTTATCAGGGATGTCAATCAGCCTGTTTTGTGCCGATTCTTGAAAACAACTAACTCAAAATTTTATCAAGAAAAATATTACCCAAACCCTAAGATTTTTCTTGACATATTTTGTCAATATCTCGAGGCCTAGGAGGCTATACTGGCTAAATTATTGAGTTGACCATTTTTAAAATAAACATTCTTATATTATTATTTTTACTTGCCATAATTATTTTTAAAAACTTGTTTTAAAAATAAGTATCATTTTTAAAAACTTGTTTTAAAAATAAGTATCATTTTTTTTTAAAACTTGGAAATAAATGCCGACATTTTTTTTTAAAGTATCGAATTCCACCTTTATCAGCATGTTGAATCAATCTACTTCACTTTGAACCAATATTTTATAATATGATTTTCCCAAATTTTTATTCTCACCTTAACAAATCTTCGTCGAAGATGAAATTAGATGCATTCACTTTTAAACGATTAACTTTATAATTGATTTATATTTTACTAAGGCTGTGCCGATCCGCATATTTTGCATCGATCCGATCCGAAATTGGTTCAAAACCGATCCGATCCGAAATTGGTTCAAAACCGATCCGATCCGAAATTGGTTCAAAACCGATCCGATATTTATGATTTTACCTTCCCCCCCCCTTCCTTTGAACCATTTTTTATGCAAAAAAATCGAATTATGCATTTAATTTAATTTTTTTAAAAATTTCTACAATAATTTAAAAAAATGTTTACGGTTATAGGTAGTATTAATTAAATTTTTCATTATTCCTCCCCCTGAAATTAGAATTCCGCAGATAACGCATCTTGCAAAATTATCTTTGTTCTTTTGTAAAATATTTCCATAATTCAGATACCATATTTTTAAAAAAAAATTCTTTTATTTAAAAGTACAAATAATAATAAAATTGGCGTTAATTATTTAAAAAGATTTAAAATAAATATAAACTTTGGGTGTTCTTTTCTATTTTTATTTTAAAAAAAAACTTTTTAAATACTATAAAATCTAATTTTAAAAACAATAAATATTTAGAAAATATTATTAATGTAAAATAAATATATATAAAATAACCAAAAGAAAAAAGAAAAGTAAAATGATTGGACCGGATCGGTTTTTCCAGGTCCGATCCGATCCGATACTTCTGTAAATAAATATCGGTGCCGATCCGATCCGATATTTAATATCTGCACAGCCCTAAACAAATAAGAATGTGCAGTGAAAATCTTAAATTTCAAATTTTCTCTCATGTTTATTAAAAAAATTAACCCAATTCCATATTTTTATTTCCAATCTTTTTAAGGGCAGTAAAAGATTTTTTGGTTCCTGAATATTTTTTAAAAATAAGAATGTAATGTGAGAGTATTAACTGTTTTTCAAATGGTTTGGTAAATTTATAAAATAAATTGATTACAGATATTTTTTGCCTTAATTCATTTAATCTTTATATTTTTTAGGGGTGTACCGATACCACTTTTTTGAGGCAGATTTGATCCGATATTAAATTGATATCAGCCGATTACCTATCCGATATCATATCTAATTTTGTATTCTTTAAAGATATTAATATACTTTTTATTTAGTATAACATCTATAATCTATCTTACACCATAACATATTGTCATTCAAATATATTATAATGATCTGATCAGTTATATAGTTTATATTCAATTTCAATTGCAATTCTAAAAGTATATAATAATTAATAATATTTATCATAGTAAAGTAATAAACCAATATATTATGAAATTTGAAATTAATATATTAAAATTAATATATCGAAGATTTCTTTTTAGAAATACCAAGATTTCCAATTCAGAGGTCAGTCTGCGGGGATGTGGACTGTCAATTTCACTAAAAAAAGATTCTGAAGAGATTATCTTACACTCGTATAAACAGAATGCGCTAAAAAATAACAATATTGCAGAATGTTTATTAATTAATTAATTATTAATTAAAAAATTGAACATAAAAATGAATTTAAATTTGATAATATTTTATTTTTGTTAAAAACGCCATTTTTTTATCGGATCTTTTAAAATGTATGAAATATCGGCCCGATTCGATCCGACCCGATAAAAAATATCGGTTACATCCCTAATATTTTTAATATGAAATAAAAAGGCGATATTTAGGAAAATAAGATAAAGGAATTTTAATATACAAATTGTCGGTATTGTTGTACTAAGAATATCCTTGAAAAATATAACATGAAAATTGAAAATAAACATTGTTAAAATATGTAAAAATTATATTAAACCGTCGTGATCTATGGGTAGTGATTTTACGATCCTACACTGGAACGGAGGGCTGGGCTGAAGATTTTTCCGGATCATTAGACCGACCTCTAAAAATCTTTGTAAAAGAAAAATCTTACGATTAAATATCGTCCATTTTCCCAAAAGATTTGTAATACGTCAATCAATTTTTCATCACAAACGATTTTTTTAAAAAAAATGTGTTTATAAAAATAAAATGGACGATACAGGTTGATAATTCCCATGATGCAAAGCTATTCCAAGGCGGGTAATTTCACGGTATTCGGGAAATTGAAGATGGCTCTGTACGAAAACGTCGTCTGGTACGGGACTTATATCGTAATTTTCGTGCTCATCTCTATCTACGTGGCATTGAAACCGAACCTGCATATCGACTCGTAATTAATATTTTGCTCGATTATTTAAAGTTAGATGGTTCTATCTATATATACCCCCCCCCCACCCCTTCAAAACACGGTTTTTAAAAATGGGTGTTGTTTTAATGTATTTCTATATGATTTTGATGTATATTAAATAATTAGCTTTTGTACAGACTCCATAACTATTAAAATATAGTTTTATTTCATTGGTTCGTTGCATGTAGGCTACGCAAACTAATTGTACTTTTGATATCTACATATCAGGCTGGGAAGAGTAATTGTTATAATAAATGATTTTGAGGCAGTTTAATCTTTTTGGTAATACTCACGTAAGATCAAATAGAATATTTTCACGGCTTACGACCTTATCAATTATGCAAATTTTAAAAAAATTAATTCAACTCTTAGTTCTAATCGAATGTATATTTAATTTTAAAATTTTAAAATCGTTAAACAATTATTAAAAAAATATAATTTTTATTTATATAAATTATTTTTTAATAAATTATATATAAACATTATATTTTAATAAATTATATATAAACATTATATTTTATATAAAATATTACAGTAATGTCATGCAAGATGGCCTTTAAATTTTTTTGGCTTTTATTGATCCTAATCTAATTACACTTACAAAAAATTTTTTTTAAATATATTATTTGAATGGTTCCATTCCACATATGATAATCCTATTTAGAATATTTTTTCCGGATAAGATTAATCTTCCACATCATATCTGACAGCATTTATTAATAAATTATAAATTTCAATTATGTATATCAAATTATTAAGATTTACAATTATCATATGGCAGACGATAATTTTCTTTTGGTTAGCCTCACCTAATTTTACTTTTAATCTTTCAATTTATGCCCAGAAATATTTCTTCCATTTATATATGAAGTGCTACATTTAGCACCGTCTATTCTTATATAATTTATTAACCACTATTCAATTATTTATCAAAAAGTAAATGATATCGCCATTTATTCTTTTTATGATTTAAAGAAAAATTTATTAAAATCCTTATCAAAAATTTTTAACGTTTCAAATGAAGCTTTCGTTTACATTATAGACTGAACTAGATTTATTGAAACTATTATTTAACAAACCCATTAAACCCTAACTTATATCATTCACTTTTTCAATTTTAGCCCTATTAATTTTCGAAGAATAACGACTAATTTAGATATACGGATTAAATAGTTTTTGATTATAAATGTCATGTTTTTTTTCTATGCAAGGCAAGGAATATCGTAATTAATATTTTTCAAACAATAACGATAATTTTGGATTATAAGGAATATATTAATATAATTCTCCCCCCCCCCCTCTCCTATCAGAACCAAACTCCTGCTAATAATATCTTCCGCTAGTAACACGTGGGGTCTCATCTTACTCGTTCTCCTACTGGGTTACGGTCTGATTCAAGTTCCCCGGGGAGTCTGGTATTATTCCGCGTTTGTAGGGGGCGCGGCCAACTCAAAACTCATGAGATGCTTCTACAAGGCGGCCATTGTTTACCCCCTCAAACAGGAAAGCCAAGAAAGTTTGGAGGAAATCATAGAAGTAAATTTATATTCCCCCTTTACCTATCCCCATTTTTTTCCCAACTTTTTCATTTTTTTCCATTCTTTAATCTTTTTTTTTTCATTCTAACCATGTCCTGCCAACTGATTCTTCTCCGCTTTATGGCGATTTCCAGGTTTACCCAGGTAGGCCTGTTTTCCCTCTAATTTTTCTTTTCCATTTTTGACGGTCCTGAGCATCAATATTTGTAAGATTCATGTTTCTCATATTCCGCCGCTAACACATTTGTCTACGTCATCTTGGGCCTTCCTCTAGGTCTTGTTCCTCCTACTTCCATCAAGGTGCATCTCTTTGCCCAGTCCTCTTTTTTCATACGATCCACATGCTCAAATTTCGTCGCTTACCTCTCCGATCATTTCTATTTACCCAATCTTGCTCGCAATTCCTTGCTAGTTTTTCTCTCTCAGAGATTCCCCGCGCATTCCATCTAATCATCCTCATCCTCGGTTCTCTCTGATTGACATTCCAAATGTTATATCAGAATTAGGAACTATTTACAATTTATTTATTACACGTAAATAACAATATTTTAAAATTCCTTTCTTTCGCGAGGTGTGTAGGTTAGAGGTCCGCGATACGCGAGATTTTTTTTAGCTCGCTCGCAACTCTCCGAACGGGCCTTGGCGGGTTTTTCTATTTTTAAGAACAATGGGCGCGGAACTTTAAATTATTTTTGGGGGGGGGGGCAAAATGAGCAGAACAGACTTATATAGTTTGGATCAATAGCTATAACTGTCCCATTTATAATCGAATTTGGACAAAACCACCCGCGAAATCGAAATTTTTTGACCCCCAAAAGATTATTGAAACCCAGACCCCCTAGCCCGCACCCCCTAATTTTTTAAATGGTGGGTCAGGGGAAAATTTACGTTTTATTTTATGTCAGCTGTTTTAATATTAAGGTTAATAGGAAGGAAATATAACATTAATTTTTTTTGTTCGAACCACTTGGCCGAGCCTATATTTTTATTTCTTGACATGTTAAAACCTCGATTTGGCAGGTCCTGTAGGACTCTGATATATTATATATTTGTTCTTTGCTTTTGTTTAATGGCACTTTTTTTTAAATCGCCATTCTCCATTTTCCTCGGTTCTGGGTATCGCCCCTAGATCAGATCTCACTTTTTCGTGTCATTATCTGGCACTTTCATCAATCTTGTTATTGGTCTTCGCCCACTGGGTCTTCTTGTTCCTTCCACTTCCGTTATTGAATGAAATGGTACGATACCTTCACAGAAATAAATTTATGAGGTAAGATTCCACATCGGATCTCGAAATTGAATTTTAAGTTACTTATTGGTAATTTTAAACGATACAATTATTATCAATCAAATATACATTTTTTTTTTAAAGGAAATAGAGCAATTGTCGATGACCGTTCCTGAATCTCATCCCATAAGACCTAAGATAGAAATTCTGATCGAGAAAGTTATATATTTTTTTTTAGAAACTATTTATATGCATATGTATTTTATTTTTTGTTATTTAGCATCAATATTAAAGTGTGTAAGTAATAAATAAAAGGCGGTGTCAAAAGTCGTTGTAACCGGTCAGTTAAAACGGACCGTTATTGTTTGGTCCACATTATCGATGTTGATTCAACCTCCCGAAAAGTCCCATAAATATGCGGGTTTTTCCGGTCTAAAAATATATCTGGCTTCTTCCTGTCTGGTCTAATGACATCTCCAAGATATATATATATGAAAAAATTTTCGAAACTATTTATAAAACGATATTTAATATTTATACCAGAGATCTGTAGGGACTGGACCAGTTCGACTTGCCCCGGGCCTGGACCGCATTTTAATTTTTTTTAAAATATACCCAGGGAAAATAAGCTCATTTTTGGAGATAAACGAGCACGTCTCCTAGATAATAACTTTGAAATTAATTTGTTGTTAAAAGCAAATAAACATTTATTAGATTCTAATTTTTATGAAAAATAAATGTTTTTTTTTCAATATATATTTTTATATTCGATGTAAATATTCAATTTTGCGATATTTTTTTATATAAATAAATTGTATATTATTTTAAATAACTGATTATACTTTGTTTATCCTAATTTATTTTATATTAAATAAATGCATTCAATAAATAAATAATACGCATATGAATGATGTATAAAGTAAGTAACTAGTTACTTTTGAAAATAACTGTAACTAATAACAAGTTACTTTTGTAAAAATGTTTTTGCCAATGTAACTAGTAACTGTAACTAGTTATGTTTCAAAAGTAACTTTTAACATCACTATTGTTTTGCTCCTTATAAAAATTAATCATTTAGTTAAGGAAATTGACATTTTTGACTACTTTTTAATGATTAAATATAATAAATATAGTGATATTAACATCATCATAAAAATTATAAACTTATTTGACATTTATGACAATTTTTATTCTCCCTGCAAAATTTATTTATTTATGACTTAAAAAGGTCAAAACTTATTTAAAAAAATATGATATAAATAAGACACGCGATATAAATAAGATACACAATATAATTAAGATATATGTTGTGATTAAAATACGCGATATGAATACATATATATGATGTGAATAAAATACGCGATATAAATAAGATTAAATAAAAATTTATTTCTTAAATATATATTTACATTAAATTTTTTGATATTATGTAATATTTTTATTGGGGTATAATAAGCCCATTTATAAATAGTATGAATAACAATATTTGTCTGAAGCATAGTTGCCATAGCAACTATCTCCACCCCTGTTCCATAAGTTGCATTTAGGGCCATGCCCGTTCTCTCCAAATATACATCAACGGTATCTCCCAAAAACCCCTCCGTCTGTTCAACAATATCTTTGCTTCTCATAAAGAGACAGAATTGCTGTCTCAGAAAATTATAATGGCATTCGTCATCATAAACCTCTTTTCTTATACGTCTACAATAAATGATTAACAATAATTTATATTATTGTAAATAAAAATACCTGAAGAGACAATTTCCATCACCAATAATCCGTTCGGTAGAATAATCATTTCCAATCACACCCTTATCATATTTTTAGATATCTTTTCTTGATCGCAAAATGAAAGCGTTCAGAATGATATTATTTTCCAATTTCTGTTAGTAGGCAGAAAAACCTCTTTCTTAGAAATTACACTATCTAATATAATTTCACCATCCAAAAAAATATGTATTAATCTACTAATTATACAAATTTTTACCTTTCTTATTTTGCATGCCCACTTCGCAATCTACCATCTTCAAATTGTGAGGCGGGACAACTATTATACTAAAAAATCAATTTTATCAATTCTTAAAAATATTACTATGAGGTCGATGCTCATCAGGCTTTAGCATTTTCAATGCTTCACTGATTGTTTTAACTCCATCATCTAAAAAATATGTATATTAAATATATTTTTTTTATTATACCTTTTTTGTTTTGACAATTATAATCCTCTCCAACTATCGTATTTAGTAATTTCAAAACTAGACATTTTAAAAAAGATTAAATATTAAAATATTACCCTTCATATGATTTTCTTCCGAATTAAGCTGTACATTTTTAATTGCTGGTTCTTGAAAATTTTCTTCATCATCTAAAAAAGGAATATTATTTAATAATTAAGTCAACTGTATACATTTTTAATGGTAGAAGAATAAAACTTTATACTTGGTAACCTGGGAACTGTTTAAAAGTTATTTAATAAATTTTTAAAAGTTTTAACCTTTTTTTCTGTCCTGCTTTAATTGTGTCATCTTGATAAGTATATAAATATAAAATTAATTTATTTATAAACTATACCTTTTCTTGTAACATAATGTTTTATGTTACAAATATTTGGTCGGGTTTTTACCTGTTTCCCACTAGCACTTATTAGCTCTACATTGCCTAAATATTATAAATATTTTGTTGTTAAAAATCATAATTTATACTTTTGTCAATCCCAACTATTGTAAAAGGACCCAGCCAAAGCCGTGTCATTTTTCCACCCTTCCTATCAGCTCGACGGCTGTTCCAGATAAGCACCTTATCATTGATTTTATAGGGAGTATTTTTCCCAGTATTGCGGGTACTGTAATCCCTCTGCTGCTTAAGCTGGGCTAAATTAATATTGCCTATGGCAATATTATGTATGTCTTGAATCTTGCAAACAACACTTTGAAAATGTTTTTCCCTATCTATCTCCTCAACATTATATGGATCTATGTCATAATCTTCATCATCCTTAAATATAATTAAGTACAAAATATATAGTATATGATTTATAATTGGTTTATTATGCCCCACAAGCTTGTATTGCTTTTCTACCATACATCAGCTCAAAGGGCGTGAATTTCGAAGATTCATGATCATATGTGTTATAGGCAAATAATATGCCAGGCAGGGCATCTGTCCAAGTCAATTGATCATCTTTAATACACTTTAGAAAGTGTTGTTTGCAAGATGCAAGACATACATAATATTGCCATAGGCAATATAAATTTAGCCCAGCTTAAGCAGCAGAGGGATTACAGTACCCGCAATACTGGGAAAAATACTCCCTATAAAATCAATGATAAGGTGCTTATCTGGAACAGCCGTCGAGCTGATAGGAAGGGTGGAAAAATGACACGGCCTTGGCTGGGTCCTTTTACGATAGTTGGGATCGACAAAAGTAAAAATTAGGATTTTTAACAACAAAATATTTATAATATTTAGGCGATGTAGAGCTAATAAGTGCTAGTGGGAAATAGGTAAAAACCCGACCAAATATTTGTAACATAAAACATTATGTTACAAGAAAAGGTTTAGTTTATGAATAAATTAATTTTATATTTATATATTTATCAAGATGACACAATTAAAGCAGGACAGAGGGAAGAAGGACGAAAGTATTGCTGGATCTTATAAAACCAAGATGTGATATAGAGGTTTTATCAAAGGAAATCGATTGTACATTATATCATATGGGGTCAAATGGTACGGGCTAGATGTTATAATAATAAGGATATAATTTTGGGAAAGAGGGATAGTAATAGAAAATTTTAGGAAAAAAATTAAATCGTATAAAATTTGAAAATGGAACGGAGGGTATTCGTCACCATGATCAAACAAAAATTAGAGTAGAATAATTTATACATAGAGGGGGGGGGGAGATGTATATTTATTTTTGCATTTTTTTTAAAGATTTGATGGCAAACGTATCATACATTCATTTAAAGACACGTATCATGAAGAATGTGATATTACCAATTAATTATTATCCATTGTCGATAAGGTGGGAGGATAAAGGGAGGCAACGAATGCCACAAGGATAACGTGGGAGAAACTGATGGAGGATGAAAAGGAAGAAGAATGTATTTTGTCGAATCGATTTGATATAAAGCGGATGCGACAATGTTTTCGTTGTAGAAAGTGGGGACATTTAAAAATTCAGTGTCAAGGAAGGAAAAGAATACGAAGGATTAAAACAGTAGTAGCTTCTAAAGAATTTCAATTTGACAAGTATCCTTTAGATGTCAAAATGTTTCTCCCACGTTTTCCCTGTGTTTCCATTCATTCGTTGCCTCCATTTATCCTCCCACTTTATCGACAATGGATAATAATTAATTGGTAATATCACATTTTTCATGATACGTGTCTTTAAATGAATGTATGGATACGTTTGCCATCAAATCTTTAAAAAATGCAAAAATTAAAATGAAAGTAACGAAATACAAAAATTTCTATTAGAAAGAAATAACTTTCTTTCTTTCTGGTATAATATAATTTATCATCTACAATTCTTGAAGGCGGCTATGCACTTTCTAACAATGTTAGATTTATTAGCATTCATTGTAATTGTAAGCTCATTCAGGAAGTCACATATGTCGGTATTTTGTTGATGGGCTAAAAAAAAACATTTATAAATTATAAAAAAATATTATTTTATGTGGAAAGGTTTTCAATTTGACGACAGAGCTTCATTCAAAATCTGACGTTTTGAATTTCGAGACAATTTAAGCTATTAAGCGTATTGAAATATTTAAAATGGCTCCCAGTGTATTTTGAAGCGATAAAAATCAAATTCCTTAAAGTTTTTAAATGAAAACCATTCCCTTTTTTTGAAAAAAAAATGACACTAGTTTGAAAATAAACTGGGTTAGAAAAAATTAAGGCTGCACCGACATTCAATACCGGACCGGGTTTGAAGCACCGGAAAATATCGGATCGAATCGGATCGGTGAAAAATATGTGGATCGGCACAGCCCTAGAAAAAAATGAATGATATAATTTATTGAAATAACATTTTTTATATAATGATAAAGTTACCAGAAAATTATCGGAGCAAGATACTTTCTGCCACCCGAAACAAGGCCGAAAATTCGACTAGATTGCAGAGCGCCCTGGAATTCGATCCACCCAACCCTAAAACTCTCATCAAAATTCACAAGTGAGTAATCAAAATCTAGAAAAATGCTAACCGCTTATACACTTATTTTTGCTACAATAATGATACATTTCTTTAGGCGACTCATAAACGGTCTCACCAATCATTACCGAACACAAATGCAATGGGAATCCATCCTCGAAACTGTGCGAGATTTGAGCCGAGCCCAAAGAGGGGACAAAAATTTTGATTCCACCCTCTCCGGAATGGATTCCGACTTTTACGCCTACGTCGACGCGTCGGCTCATAAACGCCCGATCCAGGAGAGCGGCCATCGCGTAACCGGAATGGAAAGATGTCTCAACTTCCGCTTTTCTCGCGCCATAGGTTTCTTCTATCTTATCTTTTCATAAAATTTTAAGAACTCACTCAAGAAGTCGAAATTTTATTTAAAAAATCGAGAAATACAAATACGTTGGAAAATCGATGATTTTAAAATTTTGTCAAAAGAATAGAAGAAGAAAAAAAATACAATGGAATGAAAGAAGAGAAGAAAAGATAAGAACAGCTGTAGTATATATATATAATATTCATCACTGGCAATTGCCCAACTCTAATCAGCCATTTTGGAATCTTAACGATCTGGCAATTGTTCGAAATAAAATTTTAAAATCCAAGGTCCAATGCGACCGATCGTGATACTGTCGAAGTTTTTTAGAAAATTATATCAATTTTCAAATACTGACAGAAGATTGGCAGTTTAATTTCTTGTTTCGTTGTTGTAAAAGACTTGCTTCGTGTCAAGAAATTAAATATGCCAACATAAATCCATCGTTGTATAACTTTCTTTCATATTCTCCTTTTTTCTTCATAGATAATATTGTACATTATCCTATTATTATAGCGCTTTACTATATCTATTCCATATGACATATAATAATATCTAGAATGTCGATGCATTCAGTAAAAGTGTACGTCAATGAAAAACAGCTGGGGACGCCATTTTGGTTACCCAATTCATTATTAAAAATATTGAACGAGAGGCCAATTTATTTGCTATGTCCGAACGCAAACTTTATTAAAGAATTTGCCTGATAATCGAGGTAACAAGGAGCATATTATATGGGTTTCAAAATGGCGGCTCCAGCTGATTTGCATTCAACCGACGCTTTCAAACGCATTATTACGAATGCTGATCGGAAAGAGTATGAATAAATCATTTTTGTATTATTAAATTTATTTATTTTTACAGTAACGCTCGTTAGACTGTACGTGAGGCCCTGTATCTACAAGCTGCTGGCGGTTAGCTTTTGTCTCTTATCGTTGGCCCTAATCTGGTCCGAGCTGTTTATGTTCAAGCGAAACTTTCCCATCTTGTCCATTTTCGCCATCTTTTTCCGGTTGGCCAAGACTCATCTTCATAATTATGTCCTCGTGGAGGTATTATATATTACAACGGGAATATTTTAAGAATCGAAAAAAAAAAAGAAATGACGGTCATTTTATAAAAATTCTTATATTTATTTTTTTTTAAACGCGCAAAATATAAAAGGTGGTGTCCATATCGACCCTGACCTATCTTTCCCTCTGCGCCTATTTCACCATTTTCAAGCTCAGAATCTTCGATCTTTATTGCCTGCTACCGAATCATCACACCGACGAATACAGCCTGCTCTTTGCCGGAATGTAAGATTTTTGGCATCTTTATTTTATTCTATTTATTTTTCTCTATTGATGGAAAAACCCTTTAAAAAAAAATACTTTGAAGAATGCTTTTTTGAAATTTTTTTTTCAACGCATTAGTAGACCAACTTCAGTAATCAAAATGGAAGCGTTTTCTCGCCTTTGCGTTATATCTTCAAAGCCCTTATGTTCATTGTCGAGAAAATGCTGATTTTTAGGATAAGAGAGTTATTTCTATGACAGGAACGACAATTTTCGAAGATTAAATCACTAAAAACTCGATATTTCTGCAAACTGGAATCGTATTCCTGCACATGTAGAAGTCCCTTCCTCCTCACGTGTCTCGAACAATTTTGTTATGTAGTTTTTTTTGGGGGGGTTAATATTTTAAATAATGTATAAATATGGGAAATCGAATTAGTTTAAAATGGATTTGAAATCACGGGATTAAAATCTTTGATATTCAATGGTAATTAGTGATCTGCATCGGGCCAACCCGAAATTTTTTTTAAAAAAAAATAACCGAGCCCGAATATATTTAAGTATAGAATTTAATTTTTATAATCACTCAAAATAAAAGACTCGTGTTATATGGCATCTAGTTCCTATAAATAAAATCAAATATTTTTATTTTACATTAAATTTAGAAATATTTAAAATAATTTTCCAAGACCCGACCCGGCCCGAACCCGATTTTCGAGTACGGGCCGGGTCGACTTTTGCTGGTCTCTAATATCTACCCAAGGGAGGGAATACAATTCGACAAATTAATAGATTCCAGAATATTCCACTATACATATGTATATATATATATATTATATACACATTTTTTGATGTCGACGATAAACTTACTATAACGTAAATTATTTGGTTTTTTTTAAAAAAATGAATTTATTAGGCTTTTGTCTCGGCTAACCTCTCCTCTCTGCCTAAACTTCTTGAGTCTGATCCACATGGACCAAGGTTACGCGGTATCCAGTACCATCGATAACATGAAAGGTCCCGATGACGGTCAGCCGATTGACACAGCTTTCATTCAAGTAACATTTCGATTAACTAACCTCTCGCATTTTTTTTTTGACCAACAGATGATAAGTCTCGTATAACAATCGATATTTTTTTTTATTATTATGGCTACGCGGCGTTTATAAGCTCGCGCCTTTACGTAATACATCGCGTGGCTGTCATGGTAACCTAAAATTTATATGCGCCATTAATGAAGGTTATTTTTTTAATTTTTATAGCGAATAATGGCGATTTCAAATATTTGGTTTTAAAATATCCGGCCCGGCCGGCCCGGATATTTTTTTAGAAAATAATTTTCATGCCCGGCCCGGGTATATTATTTTACTTTCTTACGCCACTTACTCGCCAAAATATGAGCGTTTAAAGGGCGAGAAAAATGACACCTTCATCATTAATTTTTCGAATATCTCGAGGATAGAGTTAGAGCAATAATTTGAATTTTATTATAATAGCTTAGTAATAGATCTTCAATATGACATATAAATAAATGTGGTAGAAACCCGATTAAAACCGGAAACCGGAAGTACAAAAACTGTAGTGTTATTCGGGAATGATTATTATATTTTTGACGAACCTTTGAATAAAAAAAAAGGGAAATTTGATTACCAAGCAAAACAAAAAAAGAATTTACTTATACCATAAAATTCTTATAGATCGCGAAGGCCAAAAGACACCAAAGCAAATAACTAAGGAAAAAATTGTCGGTCTGATTAAGTGTTAAGGAAAATAAGAGCTAATAAAAAAGATACAAGTGAAGTATCTGTTAACAACTCTGGAAAATTCTTTATATACATGAAGAAGTTATAATTGAATCGCGCTTAATTAGGTTAGTGTTGTAAGATTACCTATCTTTGACCCTCTCTATTGTGTCTTAGAGTCCAGCTTTTAGCCTAAAAAATTCAATAAAGCTTCCAAGTTGAGTCTCATCTTGGAAGATTGATTAGAATATTTCTGGATAAAAATATAACTACACTGTTTTAATAGTTGACTGAAGACGGATAGTTTAACGACACCTAAATTAGTTTGAGTAATTGGTAAATTTATTTTTACTCGTTATGCTGAGTTCGATTTCGGTTTAGTTAACAAATAAATAAAATGATGGCAATCTTATTTCCCGTAAAATGTAAAATTAAGTTAGTTTATATGGGAGATAACATTATGTTTGCTGAGTTTGTAATGAATAAGGTAATTTATATAACTAGGAGATAACATATGTTTGCTGAGTTTGTAATGAATAAGGTAATTTATATAACTAGGAGATAACATTATATTTGCTGAGTTTGTAATGAATAAGGTAATTAATTTATATAACTAGGAGATAACATATGTTTGCTGAGTTTGTAATGAATAATGTAATTTATATAACTAGGAGTTAACATATGTTTACTAAGTTTGTAATGAATAAGGTAATTTATATAACTAGGAGATAACATATGTTTGCTGAGTTTGTAATGAATAAGGTAATTTATGTAACTAGGAGATAACATATGTTTACTAAGTTTGTAATGAATAAGGTAATTTATGTAACTAGGAGATAACATATGTTTGCTAAGTTTGTAATGAATAAGGTAATATATATATATAACTAGCCTAGTATTAGTATTCTCTCGTTTAAAATTATAATATTTATTACACGTATGTGAGGTGAACGGGAATCGGTTAATTTCTTTTATTTTGGGGTTCACTTTATTCTATTTTTTTTTAACGAGATAAATATGTTTTTTTTAAACTTGATTTTCCACTTTTTGGGTTGTCTTATATTACGACACAAAACAAATTTTTTCCAAACAAAAAAAAACTGACTTTATTTTTCGAAAATCTTCTATATTTCCAAACTAAGGACCAAATACACCTTCCCCTCAAAAAAAATTGGACTCCTCTCCCTCCTCATCCGACAAAATGTACTCTTTTCTTTCTTTCTTTCTTTCAGAGAAGAGAAGAAAAGAGAAGAGAAGAGAAGAGAACTTTCTTTCTTTCTTTTTGTCGGATGAGGAGAGAGAGGAGGAGTCCAATTTTTTTTGAGGAAAAGGTGTAATATTTGGTCCTTAGTTTGGCCAAATTTATTACTCTATCAATTAAATGTTAGTGTAATTAATTATAGAAAATCGTTGTAGTAGATGTAATTGTTAATTTATTTATTTTTTAAAATTTGTCGATTATTAACGAGGTGATTATTGAATTGTTTATTTGTAAAAAAAATTTGTTTATTATTATTTTGTGACTATTATAATTATTAAAGATTTTTGAAAAATAAAAAGTCAGTTTTTTTTTTGTTTGGAAAAAGTTTGTTTTGTGTCGTAATATAAGAAAACCCAAAAAGTGGAAATTCAAGTTAAAAAAATACATATTTATTTAGATAAAAAAAAATAGAATAAAGTGAACCCCAAAATAAAAGAAAGTAACCGATTCCCATTTACCTCACTACCATACCTGGCATAAACGTTAATAAAATTATTTTTATATAAATACGCCTGCGCAGTTCTCTCGAAAAATTTGCTTTTAAAAAAAATGAGCTATATTTTAATTGGTTCAAAAAATAAAATCAGGTGATGGGACGATTGAACCTAATACCATTCATAGGTCAGGGCTTTAACGTCTACTTCCCTATGCTCATCTTCGTGCTCTGCTTAGCCAACTATTTCGACCTCATACAAAAATTAGGTATATTGCAATTTCTAATCCATATATACAGAGGAAGTAAGAAAACGCACTAAAGAAAGCGTCAAATAATTTTTAACATAATTGTAGGACGCGTTTCCCCAATTTTAAATATCTGAATCCAAAACTTGTAACCGGGATTCGTTAGAACATGCCCCATTTCAAAAAATGTATTTTGGGGTTAGATGGGTTGTTCCATAAATCTGTCACTATTTTTTTCGAATTTATGAACCCAATTTCGAAATCGGATGAAGGTATAAGGGGGCATTTACAAGAATATTTAAGAATCGGATGGACAGGAATAGGTCTAATTAGACACCTCTAAATTGATTGACAGAAAGTGACGAATTATTATATATCGAATTCCCTTTTTTTGTTGTAAATGAACAGGTAGGTCGGTCGGTTATAATAAACTGACTACCGGGGATTTCAATAGATACTACGCTCTTTCCAACCTTAAAACCCGCGTGGAAAACGGCACCATTCAAAATGGCGGTAAATACAATATCGGGAAGAACAGTGGCGATAACACCGCTGCCTTAGATGACGACGATGTAGACGGCAAAGATATGGGAGCGAGGATTGGTGCCATGGTCGAGGAAGGAAAATTGCTCCTTAAAAGAGGTTCCATTTTTTTAATATATATAAGTATATTTCGTACTCACTAGATACCTTCATAAAAGACCTTCATTCTCCTCGCATTCAATGAATATTTAATATAGATGGGATTTTATCGGTTACGTTATTTGTAAATCGTCATAAAAGGAACTTTTAAGGAGGCATTAGGCTTTTTGCCATCTGAGTTTGAACCTAAAGAACTTTTACGTAAGTGTTAACAGAAACGGTAGTTCTTTTTCTCTTAAAGCTTTGAACATGTTAAATCCCAGAATTACGATCTTTGGAAAATTTATAATAAAGGGGGGGGGGGGGTATCCGTTCCACCACAAAACAAATGAGCTCAAGACCAATCCGAGAAGATCCTAAATTGTTTCTGATATAAAATATGAGGGACCTAGGTTTTGGATGATGGTAGATTCGATCTATTCGTTATCGCCAACCGTCCGACCCGATATTTTAGCCGAAAAAAAATTGCACCGACCCTGAAGATTTCGCTTATAGATGGCAGGAAGTCTTGTTTTGGATAAAATATTGGGTAAGTCCGTTTAACAACACTAAATACTACTCTTTGTTGTTGGTTTCGAAAGTGAAATTTCTGACAGATAGATTGAGCCGTCGATTAGAAAGTGTGGAAATGATGTAAACAGCATCCTATTTATAGATGTGAGCCGAATCCCAAGGCCGCTAGATTTGGATGATAAGGAGCGAAAGATGCTTAAGTCTAATTCCAAGACAACGCGGAAGAAAATGTTAACGGATTCTGAAAGTTCCTTGGTTTGTTCGTGATTTACGAATATTGATGAGTAAGTTTGGACGCACTCTAAAATAGATTGAAGCGTCGTATGGCTATTTTTTTTTTTAGAAAGTAATGGTTTTTAAGACTGATAAAAGAATATGAGAACCCATTTAAGAAGAAGTCGACAGCATCTGGGCCTCCTGGAAATTCTAGACGCGAGTTAAGGCGGCATCATTTGAATGGGATACCAGTGTTAATGGAGTGTTAGAACAAATTTATCGATGTTCAGTACCGGATCGGGTTTTTTTTGCTAAAGGTCCTCGATTATTTTAAAAGAAACGGGGAACGAAATTATCTGCCGTTGATGAAGGCAGAATATTGAGGCAGTGGGAACTAAGCATTCTTGTTCCAATCCATTTAAATGTTAGAATCATGATTTATGTTTGTCATTGAATGCGCTAACTTTCAAATATAATTCTTTGCGTCGACTTGGGTGCCGACTGTGTGCTTTAAAATCATTAGCTGGCCTTTACTAGGCGGAAAAATTTAAAGACGCAATATGAATGCTTCTTAAGGGAATGGAAATATGATCACGAGTAAATCGTAAATAGGGCTTAAAGGCAGTACCTCTATAAAATATTTAATCTACTTATTTTTTGAAATCCATTATTTTCCTCGGGATATTTATCTTATTTTGATAATTTATTTATTTTAGAATTCAGAAACCGGTATTTAGTGACCCACGATTACAAGGACCTAACTGGCAACAAGAGCGCGGATCGTAAAAGCAAGAATCATCTGTTGAGCACCGAAATCCTGAGGAAAAAATATGGTGGCATTTCGACTAACCGAGAAGAAGACGGTAATTACGAGAATTATTCGGATACGTTTACCGACAGAAACTCGATCATCGCCCGCCCGAACGGGGAGAATAGTTTTTATAGCAACGTTCCGTTGTATTCGTCGAGGGAAGATTTGCTGCCTAAGGCTTCTCAGCCATCCCTGTATCGTCGACTCAAGGATACTATTCTGGAGAGCGGCAATGCCGACAAATTGAAAGGAATGTTGTCCTCTAATTTTTCCGCTTTCAAGAACAAGTTTGCCAATCCGGCGGAAAGAGCCAATTTCGGCCACAATAACCGCGACAGTGCCGACACGCCGAATAGTTCGAATAGCGCCGATAACGCCGCGAATAGCAGTAAATTAAGGTTCAAAGTCGCCCCAAAAAATATTTTTCAAGACATATAAAAAAGAAAGAAGAAGAGGTGCGTTTAATTTAACGCAAAACGCAAAATTTTGCGTAATTATGATTTTTTATATAAATTGTAAATAATAACTTATATGACGTACGCCACTCATTAAACTATACAACTGAATTCATAATTTTTTTTATGCGGAAAGTAGCTGAAAAAACCCTCAATTATGTAAACCTCCCATTTTTCCTCTCCTCTTTTTTTTTTCTCCACGCAAAATGTATATTTTAATCTAGTCTCTGCAATATTTTTTTTTTTTTAATCCTCTAGGAAAAACATGTATTTATTTAATTTATATAATGCTTCTTTAAACAAAAAATTAACTTATAAATTTAGATAATATAATATATATTTAATATAAAAATGTATAATTATTTATAATTTTTTTATTTATTTTTCCCATATTTTATAATCTCGTATTATTTGTATCTTAACATGAGCCCTGTCTCCTGGTGTCAAATTCATTTGCTCTTTATTATATACTTTTAACATTAATTACAGTGTTGTTGATGATTTGATGAAACATTTGTTGACTATTAAATTATAAAAATATAATTAAAATAAAAAGAATTTTCAATAATGCTTTTCATTATCTATATTTTAATTTTGCAAACATAATTATTTATATAAATGGATGGGTTTTAATTTAATTGTCAACATGTGTTTCATTAAATCATCACACCACTTGTAGTAGACAATTTTTTATCATATTAATTTTCTTGTTTTAAAAAAAGAAAAAAAACTTAAATTCTTGGAAATCTTATCTTAAATTTAAGTCAAGTTTTTTAAATTTCAAAAAAATTTCATTATCACGAGGGCCTGGCCTAAATAAAAACCGACTAACTTTACTTTTCACTCTTTATTTTTTTACCATTTTTATTGTTTGTTTGTTTGCGTGTCATCATTATTAGCCAATATTTTGTTTTTCTTATTTCGAGTTAGTTGTGATAGAGTGACGTTACAAATATGATAGACGTTTCATAAAGTGACGGAAAGGTAATTCAACACTTCTTGACAGAAATGCTCGAGAAATGAGGCTATAGAATGCAAACTTTTAACGATATCCTCGTTTATTTATTGTAATATGTTTTTTAATTTTATTAATGATCATGTTTATCATATTATTATGTAAGTTTATATATATATGATATTTTTTTCTTCGTAAAAAAAACGCCTTTGTTTTTATGTATATTTTGTAATATCGATGTTATTGTCCCAGGCTTATATTTCGATGAAGATACATTATTAATATAACAAAAAAATAAAAATAAATTATATATATAAAGGAAAAGATAGAGAAGAATATTAGCTCGCTACTCATCATACATTTTGTTAAGAAGGCATCATTTTGGGTCAATTGATAGAATATAATTATACGATCTCATTTTGAGCCGACTTCTTAAAACGGCTAACTCAGTATTTTAGCCAGATAAATATTGCCTAAGCCCCGCGATTTCGATAACATGTGTCTAGAACCCTTAGAACCTTCGTTCCTTTATAAGAGCAAAATATTCAGGCTTGCGTAATATTTCTCTGGGATGGAATATTAAGTTAACCACTTTTAAAAAAATTGGCTCAAAACGAGCCCTTTAACAACATTTTGCAAGATCGAACCCTTAAATGGATGATAAATTTCGGGGTATTTGCGATTCGAATATTTGATAGAAATCATGTTTACGGTGGCCTAAACGAATTTGATTTTGTTTAAAATTTATTAACACTCTCCTATAATAGGAATCTTTCGAGAATAAATGATAAAAAATTTAAAAAATGGCGTAAATGAATTTGATTGGTCGGTTTTGTGATCGGCATTCGGTCAAATCGTAATATTTTCAAACTATTTTTTTTAGGATAATGCTTAACACCTAATGAATATTACATGAATAATAAACCCAAAAATAAAAAGATTTTGATCAATAACGCCAGCAATATCTGCCATGTTTTCCAGAGTTGTTAAAGGATCTAATGTGGTATCTGTATCTAGATAGATTTTTTATTAAAATATCTGTATCTCGATATTATTTTAGACGATGTATCTGTATCTAGATCCATTTAAAAAGTATCTTTTAACAACTCTGAAATTTTCTATTATTTTTCGATTCTAAACCTTATTAATTAAATGTCAAAGAAACCTATCATTTTTAAGCGCTAACTAATAATCATTCTGGTTTTCTAAGATAATATAAATATATATTTAAGCATTAAACGCCCTCTTGTGGATATATATTTGTTAAATTTTAAAATCGAAAATATGAAATGCCAATAGTAATATAAGCTAGTTAAATATATATATTTTTTTCTTCCAATAATAATATAAGTAAAAACAGAATTAATTTGATATTATCCTCCTCCAGGAAAATGCTAAGTCGATTGTCGCCGGATAGTATTTTAGAATGTCTTGTCGTCGAAAGTAGTTTTTTATATATTAAATTTTTTCTTTAATAAAAACGTGAAAGTCTTTTATTATTTACTATTGATATTGAGATTTAATTGTTAATATAGAAAATTTTTTCTCTTAAATAATATGTATCAGAGACCTGCTGCAGGCTCGGTCCTAAGCCCGGCTCGGATATTTTATTCGGGCCGGGCCGTATTTAAAACCAAATATTTGAAATCGCCATTATCAGGCTGTAAAAATCAAAAATTAATAAAATATATTTTTAAATATCCGGGCCGGGCCTGAAAATAAAACACGGACCGGACCGCGCCGGCAAATGGTACCTCTTGCAGGTTTCTGATAAATCAGCTGGACTCGCCACTTTGGTAACCCGTATAGTAAATTATTCTCATGTTAAAAACTATAGTATCTCTTGCAGGTTTCTGATATATGATTACATAATAACAACGTTTATATTTATTATATCACACGATTAACATTATCGCCTTAAACCATCATAAATGTGTAAGTATATTAACGAACACCTAGACTGACGATTTATTCGTTAAAATGCGTTTTTAAGTGTCGTTAAAAGCAAATCAGCTGGACTCGCCACTTTGGTAACCCGTATAGTAAATTATTCTCATGTTAAAAACTATAGTATCTCTTGCAGGTTTCTGATATATGATTACATAATAACAACGTTTATATTTATTATATCACACGATTAACATTATCGCCTTAAACCATCATAAATGTGTAAGTATATTAACGAACACCTAGACTGACGATTTATTCGTTAAAATGCGTTTTTAAGTGTCGTTAAAAGCAAATCAGCTGGACTCGCCACTTTGGTAACCCGTATAGTAAATTATTCTCATGTTAAAAACTATAGTATCTCTTGCAGGTTTCTGATATATAATTACATAATAACAACGTTTAACTTAATATATCACACGATTAACATTATCGCCTTAAACCATCATTATCTAAATGTACAAGTATATTAACGTTTAGCACAATTATGTACTGATCAATGACATATATAATACCTAGACTGACGATTCATTCATTCATTAAAATGCCTTTTTAAGCGTCGTTAAAAGCAAATGAGCTGGACTCGCCATTTTGGTAACCCATATAGTAAATTATTCTCATGTTTAAAAACTCTACTATTAAATTGATAACTTGCTTTCCTTGTTATCTCGATGATCAGGTAATTCTTTAAATAAAGTCTGCGTCAGATATAGGAATAAATTAGGCTCTCGTTTAAAAATTTTAATAACGATTAGTGTAACCAAGATGGCGTCTCCAGCTGATTTGCATCGATGTAACACTTTTTAATGAATGAATCGTCAGTCTAGGTATTATATATGTCACTTGAATTTGTATTGTTACCAAATGTAACATTTTATTTTAATTAAAAATTTATTTTTTTTGTATACATGCCAAAAAAAATGTGTCAAAAATTGCCAAATTTCAATAAATTATTGTACTTAAAGAGAAGAGAAGAGAAGAGAAGAGAAGAGAAGAGAAGAGAAGAGAAGAGAGAAGAGAAGAGAAGATGATGGTAGATTGACTGATTCTGATTAATTGCTTTTTTAGCGACGCAGTTTAGCAACGCAGTATTGATTCACACCCGTGATTTATGGGCTAACCCAAAATTCAAAGGCAAGAAATTTTTTTTTAACAAGATCAGCTGGTTGAATTTTTGAACGTAGAAAAATATGAAATGGTGTATATATTTTTAAAAAGTTTGATAGTGAGTTTGGTATGTTTGATAAGGTTTTCGTGCTTACAGATTTTTATTATAAAGTTCTTGATTAGAAGTTTGATGAATTTGATTTGATTGGTCATTATAGTATGTGGTTAAATATTTGTTAAAAAATGTAAAACTGTTCCTGTTAGTGTAGAATGGGCAATATTAGCTGTGAGTTAGGATACGGTGCTCAATAAACTGAAGGATCAGTTGAAAAAATGGTAATACCGATGTATCGATAAAAGGTATCAAATGAATTGAAAAAAGATACTGTGGTATCGGATAAATATTTGAAAAAAAATGATGGACTTAAAAAGTAATTTCAAAAGTATTTTTTTAAAATGAAATCAAGATTGATTAACAGGAAGTGGTTTAAAAAGTTAAAGGATTAATGTTTTGGAAAGATCGGTGGTTATCCTCTAGGAATTAAAGGAAAAGAAGTGAAGGAATGTAAGTCAAGGTTACAATATATCAGGATGTTATGTAAATTTAATTAATATGAATAATAATTTCGGTAAATGCCCAGATATCTGGCAAAAAATCGACTGAAAGATAAAAAAAATTGACTTTTTCAAAAAGGGACAGAAAATTTGGGTGACAATATTTGGTGTTATAAAGAAGAACATTTTTGAATCAATATGGTATGTAACAGTTATGGGTTATTAGGGGACACAAGGCTTCACTTGCATGGTAAAAAAAGAAAAAAATCTTGTGTCGGTCTTTCCTATAAGAAAAATCGGTACTCGGAAAATCTCTAATGCAAGAAAAATTTTGATCATATTAAAGGTCCGCGAGAAAGGAAATATTGTAAAATGTAATGATAAATGGTACAATGGAATTTAACTTTGAAATGATACAAAGTTTGAGGAGCCAATAAACTAATATTAATAGCGAATTAATTAATTTTTTATAAATAAAATGAAATGTTTAGACAAAGGTTTAGATGTTTTTTTAGCTTAGAATGTTAATAATTTTGGGAGAATAAGTGATAATAAGGTGAACATATGATGTATCGAAGTTGATGAATAAAGCGAACATAAATAATAATAAAAGACCGGTCCGGACCACGGTCCTTAATCAGTCCGACAATCGGTCCGGTCCCGGTCTAAGGCCGATAGGAGCGGACCGTTGACCTGAATAGAGATCCATGCATTCAAATATTCTAAATTACTTGTATATTATTGATGTGGTTATTCTTATGGATTTCAAAAATTTGATAAGATATATATATTTCTTTATATTATTAATTACTAAATTTCAACTATTACAAAAATAGGTATGGGTAAGTTCCACTATATTTTGTTTAAATTACGACTGGGTTTAAAGGGGTTCGTTGGTATCCTCGAGGAAAAGAAAAATAGGCATGATTTTATGAAAGGTGAAGCCTTCGTAAAATTCACGTTCGCACAATTGGGGCAGGTCTATGATCAACGACGTGCTAAGTAAGAATAAGAATAAGAATTTATAAAAAGGCAGAACAATAATATTCTATCCGCTAGATGGCGTTTTCTTTTATATATCAAAATTTTTTAAAATTATAAATAATATTTAAAAAAAAATATATTTGAATTGTGTTTATTAGATTTCGACATATTCCATCATGATGAATAGTGTTGTTTAAGGGATCGTTTTGATCCTTTGCCCTAGCCTAGAGAATATTCGAAAAAATAAGAGGAAATGAGCAAGGGGAAAATTGGAAAAAGAACAATAGGGAATTTAAAAATTTATTTAAAAAAATTATTTTTTTCCAGTCTTTCCTGCTTTTAATTCCACGTGACTGATGTGAGTTTTTTTTGGTTGTTGAGTCTTTCTGGTTTTGAAACGGATAAAATTTTTCATCTGAAATTTATCTTCGCCTTGACTATTTAAGTAAATTATTTGATGTATCGTGAGACAATCTAATCGATCGCGATACAAAATTATTTCCTTGAGAAGGATCTGTCAAATTCTTTTTCTCGATAACATTTTAAGATTTTTCAAGCCCGGCCCGAACTCGAAATATTTTTTTAAAAAAGGTTTTGCAGACCCGCCCCGAATTTATTTTAAATATATAAGAAATAAAATTTTTATAAATTACTCAAAAATAAAAGATATATTTTTATAATGGCG